TTTTTCACTTGTGCCTTTCAGGTGAACGACAGCCACTGACCGACAAGAACAAAACCGACCCTGGAATCTTGGGCAAAAGCCTCGATCCTGTGTATTAATCCGTGAATCCGTGTAAAGTCAAATCGCTCAGTCCTGTGTGCAGGATCTGCGCGTCTGTCGGCCTGATTTATTTTGCGTTCTATGTGTAGTCGTCTGGCTACCCAAAAAGCTACCTTACCAGGAGTGTCGCAAAGCAATAAGAATAAGCATTAAGGAAAAGCAATAAGAATAATACAATAATGATTTACAAAATTACATATTTTGTGAATCGAATAACCGTTTTTTTGTCTGAATAGGAAAGCTACAAAAAAGCGCACTCGCACCATCTGGCTGGACCAAATTGAATCTCGCAGGGCAGTTTGCCACGCTGGCGTAGGATGTGTCGTGTAATCCGCGCTGGGCATCTACCACTACAGTCGCGAATAACAATGCACTGGCTGTCGCTGAAAGAGCGCGTGGTTGCTCCATGGCGCCAGTTGAACTTTTCCCCATCCTTGTTTTGCGGTGACTAACCTATATTTCTGTGACCATAATGCGTCATGTGGTACTTGAAGCTCTCTTTGAAGCAGTGCCTCTGCTTGTGAAACTCAGTTAGGCGAATTGGTGCTTGTTGTTTTTCGATATACCGACGGGAGTCTTTGCATAATCTCTTCCACCATGCTCTCCTCTCTGGAGTTCTGAATTGCACGCTCCGGGGTGTCAACGCAGCTTTCGGCTCGACCGTTCGACTGTGGATGCAACGGCGGCGAGGGAAAATGAGTTACGCTATACTTCAAAATGAAACTCTGGGAATGCTGGCGATGTGGACTGACTGCCGCTGTCAAAAACATTAGTCTTTGGAGTTCCAAAACGACGGGACGATCGTCCCAGTGCGTTGTTTTGTGCAACACTGTCGGTTACGGCACATCTGCTTCCCCGAGTCCATCTCTTTTTTACGTCTGGCCTCCAAATATTTTGCTGCTTTCCCCCTTGCTAGCCTCCAGGAACAGCAGCGACTTCTCTCCTTTGACAAACGCTCAACGTATTTGTGACATCTCCCACTAAATCCTACCGACCCCCCCTCTACCTTGCTTCTCCCATTATAAGTTTTCACCATGGTACCACTCACCATGGAAATTTACCAAAGACCTTGGACGCTAAAATGCACCCAGCTGGCAGAAAATATTGGAAACCTAGGAATTTCTCACTAAAACTCCTCATCAGCAAGCTCTCTGCTGACCGAGAGCACTCACGGGTATCATTTGAAGGCCGTAAAGATAGCACGACTTTCAGGCACTCTTCTCGCTGTAAATTAGTTGGCCATCTCCCAAAAGCCACTCACCATCTTGTCTGCGTTCCATCGACGGTGGTTTTGTCGCGGTTCCTAGCAATAAAGCCGACTATCTGAACACTTACTCAACCAGCTGCTACTTACCTCTTCGTGCCAAGCTCAACCCCACAACACTCGCCGCACATTTCACATCTCCACAATAGAGTAACCGCCTGTTTTTTAACGTGATCATCTCCCTAGCTGATGTATCAGCCCTTCTTCAAACCCTCAAGGACTCCGCCGTGCAATAGGCGGCGTAACATTACGTGCCCTGAGACGTAGCGGTGAGGACATCAAAATTCTTGTCCAAGATATTTATGCTCAACCAATTAACTTTAGAATCGTTTCTTTGCAGTGGAAACAACCTGTCGTCTTCCTCATTTGATCTAGACAAACTACTTCCAGCTAGGGAGGGATCCATCACATCTTCAGTGAGAACTCTCGAACGTCCGGTTAAAGGCCCGTTAACCAGAGTCTTCCTAGCTGCAAATGCCATAGATGACCAACAGTACGTATTCCCATCTCAGAGGTCCGTAAGTAGCTGCCGGCTTCTCTTTTTTGGAACATCGCAGCATCCTACGATGCCCGAGCACTCCACTGCGGCCATCTATTTGAATATGCAAAGAGGTTTTGACTAGGTAACTCTTGCATCATTGCCAAAGAAATTTAGTTCTGTTAGCATCGCTTGTTCCCTGTTTTAGTGCTTCACCTCCTACCTATCTGACAGGGGACTGATAACGCAAGTCGGTGACAATCATCGCCCTATCGGTCGCTAGTAGTCATTCAAGGGAGTGTGCGAGGCGCCATCCACCCCCCATTAAGAAACACCATAAAAGAGCACTATTATGTTTGTCTCCAGCTCAGGTCGGACTTGTGCCTGTTGTCACTTGTCTGGAAACACCAAATAATGCAAGTGAATGATAGCTGTCTTTTCGTTCAGTTTAAAAATACATATGCCTGGGTTATCCTGAATGTACTGTAAGACGCTCTCCGATTGTTTTCTGAATACCGACAGTCACAGCCAGCTCCTAATGGCTGTTTTCGCCATACACCATTCGATTTTTGGAGCAGACAACAGTGACTCATTGACTGGCGACCCATACTCTTACTTTTCTGTTAATTTGACGTAGTAGCTTTCAGGCAAAATACGTTTTTTATCCATTTTCTCAAAATCTGTTGCCCCACCGTTTATTATTTCTCTTTGTCCCTGTTTATATTAACGACTCCTTCGCACAACGGGGGGCCCATGATTGAGTTTTCTATGCTGGGCTTAAAACTACGACCATGATATATCACTGTGTAATCGCATGTTCCAAGTAGTCCAACGACTGGCCTTTCTGACAACTATCTCGGCGGCTCAAGACTTACTTTCCCAAAAGTAGTTGTCCACTCTGGTCAAGCGGGTACTTGGTTTCTAGGTTAGCCAACATAATCTACACTTTCATGGGTTCAATTAACTTGATGTCATCCTATTTTACATTTTTCCTGTTGGACGCCGTTTTATCTGATACCTCGTGGCACTCACTAGAAGCTAGTGCTATTATCCTCTTCCTTCCTCATTCAACTCCTTCCCAAGCCTTAAACTTCGACTGCAGTTGCCCAAACGCCCCGTACAACCGTTATTCATTCAACCTAACTGGTCCTCGGTCCACAGTCACACGGTCCTCCTACTGATTAGGAATTGTCTGTGACTGTGCATCGGCCTGATCCTATCGTCCAACCCAGATGCAGCTGCCAGGGGAATGCGTATGCCTTGCCCAATTGCGGTAACCCTGAAGGCCGTTAGGGAGCTGTCCAGAAACCGATGTCAGTGAAATAATGGCATGATACTGCCATACCCAATCTGAGGACACTCCGCAACCATTCACTTCCTACTTCTGACGGTGCCTTCTCACCCACATGTTACCCTACCTGAAACTGCGAACAAACTTTTCATTTGCCACAGCCTCCTTGTAATTCGTTCATTCTAATCTGCTGAACCTACCGTCCTGATGAAAACATCTTGTTGGCCCCGGTTCAGTGCTCCTCAAAAGTCAGTCATTTTCTGCATGTCTTGCGCGTTAGCGCAAAATCCCTTCCCCATTGAGCCCTTTTTACCCGGCTCCGGCCCTACACCGGCAACTGTGAGTCCCTACACTTTCAACGTACCAATGACCCTATGATTACAGCCACCAGTTATGTGTGTTGATGATCCCCCTAATTTATGATCCCCACCTACGCTTTTTTGGGACTCAGGCCATAAGCTCGACGGCCCAAGGTCAAAAATGCTGCATTTTTCGTTTTATACTTTCGTTCAACTTGACCGACCAGAACTCGGGGATCCTGCTACCGTACCAAATTTTTGTTCTTGTTCTTCATTTTTATATCCGAATTTTTCGCATCATGTGCCCGGCAGTATGCCTCTTTCTTGCGCTCCCAAGTTCTGTTTTTGCGTGCCACCTTTACATCTAGATCTGATTTTGTTTCAGGGTAATATATCCCCACAAAATTAAGATAAACTACTCATTATTGTGGTTCCTTCCCCATGCCTGTTTAGGCATGACCAACTGTACCTCGTATGTTGACAATCCCCTAGTCATGCATTATGCTGAATGTAGTTATGTGATCATGTCTGATGGTGTATCACCCACTAGTTGGGAGTAAACATTATTATTACCATGTATCAACGACGTCTTAAGCCACATGAAAACCCTTCCTTTTTGCGGCAGATATAAAAATCGCTCACACATTTACTTCCTCCGCTAAATCTCTTGCCTTTTGCCAGATCCAGCAAGACTGAGGCTCACTGAGTGGTTAGGTGAATATAGCCCAAGCTTCGCTTCTTCCGATTCCCATAATCTAACTCTCCTACATCGTCCTTTATACCGAACTGCTTCAATTGCAGAGGCTAGCGGAGTGTAAAGTCGTGAACTCTCTATAAATTTCGTAACTCCAGCAACTTCTCAGTGTACTCCTCAGGGCGTACAACTCTACCCAAATACTTTTTCCTTATCTAACACTCTTCCTTCTGGAAGACTCCCCGATATGCTTCCAAATATCACACACCAACATAAGTTTTCGAAGTCTAAATAACTACCTTACTTGTGGTGCCGCAGCCGTCTTACTTAGTACCCAGATACCCAGTGGTCTCATTTACGAGTCAAGTCCAAATCACCTTTGAGTTTGACGAAGAAGCGGTTAGTGGACGAAAAAATGCTTGCAATGATAACTGAAAAAATAAAACAATTCCCTCACTAAACCCCTTTGAATTTCTTGAAGTGGCAGATATCCGCAGTGCGTGCTTGAGCAGAATATGCTCTATTGGTGGCACGGTTTTTTGTCGAAGCGACTTATGCCGAGTCGCTTCGGGTGAGGCTAGATGCCAAAAGGACTAGGTTATCCGACTCTTTTCAAACATGTCCTTCTCACTGCGCCATGAGAAATCTGCCCGAAAGGTATTCGCCATTCTTCGGATGATTCGGCGCACCTTCTCCTGTATTGGCCGCATGGACTTCCAAATACTGTAGGGGGCCTACTTCAGACCACTCCTTGAATATGCCGACAAAGTTGTTTACTCAGGACGCATGGAACACCCAACATTCATTGAACACATCCAGCGAGCTTCTATCGGAATGGTTGCCTGCCTTAAATCTTTGGACTTTCAAATGCGTATCGTGGAGCTTGACCCTACGTGGAGTATCGTTGCCCCTGAGAGAGACTAATTCATACTCATGCCCTGATCGAACGGAGTTTGGCCGACAGGCTTCTCACCTGTGACCCAGCAAACACACGGCAGAGACACAGTAAGAATACTTCCAGGCTCGTATCCCACACATTCATTAGGCAAAAATTTTCTCACTTCGGGTAGTAGCTGCGTAGAATGACTTCCCTCCGACGGTTGTTCACGCTCCTTCTAGAACCCAGTTCATAGCATTATTAGACACCTATTTACGCAATTCTTAGCGCCGGCAAGCCAACTGTTGCGAGCTGAGAACCTAAAGAGCAATGCCATACCCTTTTTCACTTGTGCCTGCCAAGAGAATGACAGCCACTGAAAAAGAAAAAACCGACCGGGAAACTTTGGCAAAGGCCTCTGTGTATCACTCCCTGAATCTGTGAAGTGTTGACATTCGGCAATAAGTGCTTGGAATGCTCTGTTTTGCCACTATCCACTACAGCTGATCTCTGACCCACGCCCGGTGGGGTCATCCAACCGGATCAGGAAAGTAGCTGTAACCTTACATCGGCTTCGTTCTTCCTCTGTGGATTTTCTTATCCAGCCTGCTCAAAAAGTTGCATATCCCAGCCCAATGAACTTCAACATGAGATCCGTCACGCGGCTGCACAAAAATCAAAGGTTGTCAGGCCAGTGATGGCTGCGCACTGGCATACCCAGTTTGACAGAACACATGAAACTATTCCATTCCTACTCTTTATCAAACATTCTCACCCATTAGTACATATAACTGCAAATACGAACAAACTCTTCACCTAGTCTCAGCGACCATTAGGGCGCACTGATTGCAATTTGCTGAAACTTTCCTTCAGATTTACCGTTTCGATAGGCTTTCTGTCTGTGATCTTCACAAAGTCCATAATTTTCCGTACACCTAGCGTTTCGACTTAGGTGTTTTCACCAACTCACCCTTCCAAATATCTTTTATATCAGACACTACTATGATATCGACACCACCGAATCCACAATTCCGCCAACACACCATGCTGCTGGGATTCCCACCACCATTTATCCACATTGCTTATATCTCTAATTCACCATCCCTACCTAAGCTTTTCGAGTCGCTGGCCGTGAACCCAACAGCTTAAGACCACGAGTTCTTAGCGGTGGTTTTAGGTTTTGGTTCAAATTGACCCGCTCGATTGTGCGAATCCTTCCGCTTCACCTGATCCGTTTTTCCAGTCCCTCATGTTCTGTCGTTTGCAGTCTTGTCATGTGCCGGTCGGGTGCCCTTCATTCTGCCCTCTATCATCTTGTTCCTACCCTTCACTCTCAAATTCCAAAGATCTGCACTTGCTTCGGCTCGCTACATTCCCAAAAAAGAAAAACGGTAATAGTAAACGTGATTTATTGCCCTTGTCGGTTAAGGGGTGGCCGCGTCTAAATCGGGTAATGCCCACTCTTCCTGGCGCTGTCCTTTTCCTCAGAAATCCCGCCAGTTGTGCTTTATTCTGACTGTAACATTGTGACCATACTTG